GCTCTCTCTCCCTCCCTCTCTCCGGACTCCTCTTTCCCCTGGTGTTCTCAGAGAAGAAAAAAAAAAAATTTTTTTAAGTTGCAGAACCAAGGGCTGCTGAAAAGAGAGAGGGAAGGGGGGGAAAAAAAGAAAGAAAAAAACTCCACTTTGCCTATGCGCATGCGTGATGAGGCCGGCCTATGACAAACTCCACAGGATTTTAAAGCCGTACCACGGGCTGGGGTGCAGGGGGCGGGATGCAATCCCTGCTCGAGCCCCCTTCTCTGGGCTCCCCATCCCCCCAGCATCTGCCGAAAGAGAGAGGTCCCCTCCGCAGCCGCCGCCTGCCAGCCGCAGCTCTCTTCGCTCCTTCCAAAACCAAAGACCTGCAGGAGGCTGAACCCCAACTTCCCGGGCTGGACTCTCTGGCTTGCCTGTCCCAGGCCGCTTGCACTGGGGCTGCTGCGCTGGCAGGGAACCTCTTGGAAGACCTCCTCTGCATTCTTACCCCTGGGGTCCCTAAGACTGGGGGGAGGGGGGTGCTGGGGAATAGGGTAGGCTCACACAGCCTGCAGCACCCCGGTGTAGTAGATTTGGGTACCTGGGTGCAAGATTGAGCATCTGACTGGGACCCTGGCGCATCCAGATACAACGCGTGGTCTTGCCCAGTGGATCTTGGTGAGTGCCCTCAGGTGAGAAAGAAGCTTGCGAAGTTCAGCAAAACCCAGTTCCTGACACTGGAATGTCTTGACGCTTCCAGACACCTGTGATTGTTGGGACCCAGGCCGGGCAGGGTGGGTGGATGAGTGGCCTCCACCTTCAGGCCCCCAAACGATGCCTTACACTGGAGCACAGTTCTTGTTCTCAATCCCCCCCATTCTCCAGACATCCCTGGTGGAAGATCAGCACACACACACACACACACACACACACACCCCTCAGTTTCAGTCATCCATGTGGCATGCACTTGACCTAGGGGCAAAATCCATAGCCAAGGTACTTGAGGTGGTGGCTGTTTTGTTTTTCTACTTTTCTACCCCAATCCCACCCCTGGCTGATCATCCCAGCCTATGAGTGGGAGGCTCTGGTGACTCTGTAACACCCTTCACAGGCCCTTCCTGGTCCTTACTTCTCTCAGCTGAGTGGACCCCTCCTCAGTGTGGAAATGTCAAGTGTGGGCTTTCCACAAATTCCAAGAGATGCCCTTGCTTCTGCAGGGCTGGCTTTCTTTCTCGAGGGGCACACACAGCTTTAAAGAAGGGGAGCCCAAAGTTATCAGAGATCCCCCGGGACATCTCTCCTTCACCTCCTGAGTCCACTTTCCCTTCATGCTCTCTAAGCCTTCACCACTTAAGGATCTCATGGGAATTTTCTACTTTTCCAGCCTAGCCTGAGATCTGCCCATGGGAGACAATGATCTAAACAAGAGGGGTCTCTGTCTGGTGAAACCGTCTTCCCCCAGTTCCTCTCCCCACTCTGTTGTGCCCAGCCACTGCATGGCATTCTCCTGGCTGGGGAAGCACGGTGCCTCTGTGCAGGCAACTCAGAGGATGCCCCTCACACCTATTCCTTGGACCCAGTTCATAGGGGGAGGCACTGAGAGGTGGCAGGAAATGAGCTGGCTAAGAATGCAGCTCCCAGAGGGTGCTGAAGCCACTGGGCACCTGAGTGCCTGGAGGCAGTACACTTAGATGGTCCTGTCCCTAAGAAGGAAAGGGCCCTTAATGTGAGAATTTGCTCCATTCAAGCAAGTCATTCCAGAAGCACTGGCTACTACCAAACCACAAACTGTTTTTTAACTGTTTTGAATTATCTGAATAATTTTCTGTTTCTTTTCAATTGCCTTTGCCTGTTTGTGTAGACACAACCCCAACAGTTTTATTTCCTGCTTTGCTGTCTTTCCTCTAGTGGAAGGTGGTGTTAGGTAGTAGTAAAGGGTATGAATGACATCTAGAGTTCCAATGCCCTCTCTGTCACTTTCTAGGTATGAAAACTTGGACAAATCATTTGGCCTCTGAGTGCCTCAGAATCCTCTTAAACATGCACACAACAACAACAAACAAACAAAAACAGAAATATAATGACACAACAGAAATGTAAAGAGAAATGTAATGACCTGCCTGATAAAGATGCAGTGAAAATGCTAAGAATGACCCTGAAAATCAGGGATGCAGGGAGAATGAACAGTAATGATCATGGCACACTTAGGGTGGGTCAGGCACTCAGTGGGCACTCAATACCTGCTCTTCTACAAAAAGCAGCTTTGAAAACAGGTTTTAAACTCCTTTGGTGGCAAAACTAGACCTCACATGACAAGGCCATTTATAGTCTTAATTTATCCCAGTTGGAGTGAATGTTCATACTGTTCACAGAAGAAATATGAACAGTGTTGGATTACTGGGTACTTCCCCAGACCTCACGGGGGCTGTTTGCAAAATAAATAATCATATGCCCTATTTTATCTTTCAAAAAAATTCCAAAATTTCCGACAAACCTATCTAACCCCAAGGACTTCAGATGAAGGAGTGAATTTTATCTGATGATATGAATAATGGGTGTACTGAGATTACACCCTGTGAGGATGCAATAACCTCTGTGACAGTGTTTTCATGGCTGTAAACCCAGTGCCTGGCACTTAATAGGTACACAATAATATTTGTTGAATGACCAAGTGAATGCATGCATGGATGAAAAGATTATTTCCAGAGAAAAATGTCAAGGGAGACCAACTGGAAACCCACTTTGACCCTTTAGTCAGGGGGTGCTGCTCTGGAAAACCAGGCTCAGTCCCAAGAGCTAGTCCCAAGATGAGTATTTAATGATTTGCATGGGCAATGAACAGTGGGAAGGAGGGCAATCCATTCCTCTCTCTTTCCATCTTCAAAGGCCCTCTTCCAAGGAACTCCAGGTTGTGGAACTCCACCTTTCCCTCTTACAAGCCACGTGTGCATTTGAATGTACGTACGCAGATTGAGTCATCTGCAGACACACTGGCAAGGCATCACCGTGCTCCACTCATTAAAAATGCTTTTGAGTCTGTGGAACAAATAAATCAATATTTTTGGCTGCTCTCCCAACAGGGTTATTTCATAAAACAGAGTGCAAGATAAGGAATTTATGAACGATCGCATCCTTGTGCGGCCATTCCCACTGGGAGAAAACAGGACCTGGGTTGACATTCTGGGAAAATCTACCCCCCTTTTATGCCAGGCAAATAATATTTTATGGCCCTGGGTTTATGGTGGTGTTTTAATGATCCACTGTAGAAAGCGGTTTTCTCTCCAGTCACTAGAATTTGTCAAGAAGGGCTGGAGGCCATAAAAGAGGGATGGGCTCCAGGGACAAACAGGCTCCTTCTTCTGAAATAAACTAATTGACAGTCCCAAAGTGTTTACCCCTTCCCCTCAGAGTCAAGACCAGCTGGGCTGCCCGGGAGGGGCTCCCAGATGGAGCACTAAACGGGACAAAGGGGCCGGAAGGGGGTCAGGGGCTTCCTCACCACCACATGGCCACAGTCAAAGTAATATCGTCACATTGAGTTGTCACTGGCCGCTGGCCTAGGGGGGACAAAGGCTCCCTTGAGGTTAGAGGGCATTTTTGGACACTGAGCTGACTCAAGGAGGCTCGTTGAAAGTCTAAAACTCTCCTCGCACTGGGCCTAATCACAGTGACTTCCTAACTTAAAGCCCTCATTATTTTTATGGTCCAGTGCTTTTAGTGCGGCCTGCATGGATGCTTGGATTTTTTGAGCTTTAAGTGATATTAGGGTCAAAGAGACCTGAGTCTGAATCCCAGCTCAGCCTTTTACTGACTGAGTGACCCTACAGGGGTCACTTACCCTTCGGAACCTTGATCTCCTCACCTGTGAAGTAGATTATACAGGGTGTCCTTAAAAAAATGTATACACACTTTAACAGCTGATAGCTCAATTTTGAAAATGAAATGTATTTTAATAAACGCTGCCTTTATAATTATTCAAAGTATATGTATACATTTTTGGGGGACACCCTACATTAGGGATGTTCTAACAATTGAGGTCATGCACAGAAGGTCTTGGTCCAGCATCTGCCCCTGGCAGAAGCTGCTGTGGTTATTTCAACACTAGGAATGTCTGTCCCCGGGTCTTGGGTAAAATCCTGAGACAGATGAGTTGCCTTAGGAGGGAGGAGGCAGAGGTCCTGGAAAAATGGAGAGAGATGTGGGAGGCAGTTATAAGATTATCAGCCATGGCTGCCTGACGGAATTCAATAAGGGTGAGGCCAATAAGTGCTGAGATGATAATGAATATTGCGTAATAATAATTGCTGGTAACATTTACTGAGCTCTTACTATGCGCTAGATGCCGGCCAGTGTGTGGACTCTTCATGCCATTGCTGTGTTTCATCCTTGCTGCTTCATAAGGTAAACCCGCATATTATTCACACGATGTGGAGAAAAGGAAAGGTTCAGAGAGAGCACAATTTCCATAAGCCCGAGGCGTTTTAGTGTTTAAACCCTAGAGTTGGAACCCTGCTCCTCTGACTCTAAATAACAGAGGCTTAACCCCCATACTTTATCTACCTATAAAGACAAAACTATCTTTTGAAAAGTGTTTCCCTGGTTTCCAAATGTGCCCACACTTTCCCCTTGGCCTCTCCTACGTGTGAGCTTTACCTTAAGTGGGAAGAGTCTTTCTTGAAAGCTCTGATTTACTCCACCGACACCAAACATAACTCCCACCAGAACCAGCTGCACCAGGAAAGCCGGGTTCAAGTCCGATTCAGTGGCTCTGTCAAAGATGTGTCCTTATTTCATTAACTGACTTACTACGAAGCTGTGACTTGCCTGCCTCATTCCACCACCACCATCAGGAACCGCAGCAGCCATCCTGGGTGCTCGGCCTTGAATCCTGACCTTGCCTGGGCAGTGTCCTTTGAATTCCCTGCTCTCTGAACAGGGCTGGGCTGGCACTCCTCCTGTGATGAGGACAGGGCTCTCTCTCCCCTGTGCAGCTCAGGTCACAGCATGCCTCTGCTTAATATCCTTCAGGGACTCCCCGTTCACCAGATGAAGCCTCAGCAAGTCAACCTGCCTGGACGGCTCATCACGGTGCGCCCCTGCCTCTGCTGTTCCCTCTGCCTGAAATGCTGTTCCTCTGGCCTGGGCACCCTCACTCCATCAGGTCAGTGTTTCTGTGTTCACATGACCTTAATGCAACCCCTACTTTCCCTGCCAGTGATTCTTTGTGTGGTTCCCCTCTTCCACCCTGATCTAGAATCATCTTATTTCTGCACGCATGTTTGCTTGTTGGTTTTCTTTCCCCCTCACTAGAACGCAAGCTCCAGGGGGGAAGGGGTTTCACTTTTCTTGTTCAAAACTATAACCTCCAGTGACTGGCACAGAGAAAAAGCTCAGGATAAATGAATGAATGATCATGCCCATAGTCAGGCAAGGGCTAAGCAAGGGTTTGAACTTTGGTAATTTGACTCTAAAGAACAGAGGCTTAACCACCATGCTTTATTCACCTATAAATAAAGACAGAACTTTTCAAAAAGGTGTTTCCCTGGTTCCCAAAATGCATGCACACTTTCCCCCTCGCCTCTAGCGTGCAAGACTTACCTGAAGTGGACGGAATCTGATAACAGACATAGTTTTCCTCTGAAGACAGACTGTATTCCACTACTCTCCCTCCCGTCATACTGTTTTTTTCCGAAAAGTTGTTTTCTCTTCACTGGTCTTTTCTTATAAAATGGTCAGTCTTATCTATTCCATATTTTATGTGAGCCACTGGGCATCTAGATACTGGAGTTAGAACATAGATTCACCATTTCTGGGGAACACAAGTCCCTTTACCGACATGAAAGAAAATTTATTATCTGAGAAAGAGAAGAAAATGCTGGAACTTTTATTTTTCCTATTTTATTTATTGTTTTCAATTATCAATAGGGTCTGCTTAAATCTGCAAGGATTCTCAATAATTACTGTTGTTCCCAAACAACCCATTACACAGCCATACTCCTTTGGGTACATAAGAGCAGGTTTTTGAAACTCTTTAGTTCTGTTCTGTTATTTAAAAGGAGTTTCTAGAAAACTGTAATTGTTTTCCAAAATTTTGGACTTAAACATGCTGTGAATACTAAGAATACTTAGTATTCTGCGGCTGGCAGAATACTACATTCTCATTAGAAAGCCATTAAATAATGCTCAGATTCGGTTCTAACTAGATTCTAATATAGATCACATCTATCCCTTCAAGGTAAGAAGCAAGAACAGCCCCCCTGCATGACCTGGAAAGCCAGCCAGGAGGACACATTCAGATGAGTGCTACGATGGACTTGCCCTAGGAGAAAAAGAGCATCCTGGCATCTCAAGGCTGATTAAGACTGTGAACATCTCTTCTTGTCAGTTGCAGCCGCATGACTCTGAATTTGTAATAACAAACCAGTAAATGAGAAAAATTTTAAGAGAGATGCATAACAGCCAAATATCCAAATAAAAAGGCCAGAATTTAACTATCTAGTCAATTACTTGGTCTTCCTGACAACAAACTGCGCACCAAACATCTAAGAAGCTGATGGCATTTTTTAACTTTTCAAGAATGTTCTGACATCGTAACAATTTCACATCTTATAGAATTTTAACTGGAGTGGCTCTAATACAATATCTTACTTCTATGCAAATATTCTCAACCTATTTGAAAGGGACCACAAATAATTCTAGATAGCAGAATTAAATCCCAAGTCTTTTTAATTTTGTGTACTTTGCCCCTATAATTACCAATGCTCAGTAAAGTGACACTGTTATGATTTCCCAAACCTGTCTCAATAAATCAGTGAATTTTGGATAAAAGCTTTTTTTCTCCACCCCGTTTAATCCTTGATTCACTCTTCTGTAAGTGTCCATTAAGGTCAAGTGACAATTCATTGACTTTGAAAAACATGAGAAACACTCCCAGGGTAAAAGATCCCAATGTCGCTGAACGTATTTAAAGTAAGTGGTTTTGACTTAAGCAAAGATTTCTACTTAACCCAGAAGAAAAGCAGCCACTCCTTGGAAATACCACAGAATTCAGGAAAGTGAAATGAGTGATTGCAAAGGATTAAATTTACCTATTGCAGCCGGTACATATATCTACTGAGTATATACAGGAACACGATGGCTCGACTCACGTGTCATTTGTGGACAGCCCTCTTCTCCTCAACCCAGGAGCATGATCCTCTCAGTCATGCAGATATGTCATAACAGAGATTAGTCGGTACATAAGCGCCATCCTTTCCTTGTTCTGTGTGCTCAATTCAAGGATGTTTGAATATATCTTCTTGCTATTTAAAATGGGACTCAATCAGTATGATAACCGCATCTACTTCAACATTCAACAACAGAAAATAGAAACAAATCATAAATTTCGAGAGTCCGTTGATTGGGACTGAATTATAGCTAAAGGAAATAAAGAGCAGTTTAACACACATGGAGGAAAAGCACATGAAAAGTCATAGCTGTAGGCTTGACTGAAAGGCCACCCATTCATTCGTTCATTCATTCATTCATTCATTCATTCATTGTTTTGTCTGTTCACTCAACAAATATCCACAGATCATCTACTGTGGATCATCAACCACTCATTTAATAAGCATTTATGGTACACCCATTCATTCATTCCTAAAATTCGTATTGTATATGCCAGACCATGTCGGCTTGTCCATCTTAGTCGACAATTATTGTGCACTTACTAGGTGCTAACCCTGAACAGGCTTCATAAGAAAGTCCCAAATGCGTGGGCGAGATGGAAGCCCCCGAAACGTGTTTGTAAATATATCCTGCTGCTGGGGCAAGGTCACTGGGCCTGTGGCCTCTCAGCTCAGTGGGTTTGGAACAGGGCTTAAAGGGCTTAAGAATCAAGTTCAACAATAGGGATTTCTCCTGTGCTGACTGGCCACCTTAGAATCCCCAAGGGGGTTCAGCAAGAGAAAAGGGTTGACTCCCGCCCAGTGGGTCACCATCAGAAGAGTCATTTGCATATTGTCATATACCTAATGCAGTGGTCACATGGCCAAAATTCAATTGCTTCTTTTTATTTATTTTTTGTTTTGAACGCAGCTGTGCATTCTCATAACAGTACATTCTTCAGTTCGCTTCCAAACATCACTGTTCGTGACGGAGAGTTTTCATTTGGGCAATAAAGCGGTGAACATAGTTTTGAACTGTGTCCCCAGGAGTTTGTTTCACAGGTGGTTCATCTGTTTCTACCTTTTTTAATGTTTGCCGTTCCTCGATTCCCTACTACGTGCCAGGAGCTGTGCAGCAATGGAGGTGCAGAAATGAGTGAGCTGTGGTTCCTGCTCTCAAGGGCTAGCAATGGAGCAGGATATCCAGGCACATGCAGTAATGATGCGCAGTGTAATGCATATTAACCTTACACAATGAGGTATGTGGAGTCACAACAACAGAGGAAAAGCAGACCTGCTATTAAAGAAAGAAGAAAAAGGACTATGTCATCTCTGGAGACAAGGCACCTCATCCGGACACTCAGAGCTGTTGCCTGGCCAGCACGGTTGCCCCCTTCCTCTGGGAGGAGCACCCCATTGGATTGTCCTTGGAGGATTCACCTCTGCTCTCTAACAGGCCAGGTGACTTGGCAGGGCCGGCTTCCCCCCATGATTCAAAGAATGAGCATGTGACTCAGACCTCGGCAGTCAGAGAAGAGTCCTGTGACACTGATTAGACAATGAGAGATGGTCTCAAGATTTTGTTTTGGCAATAGTAGGACAGAGGAACCAATTTTCCTTTGAGGTTACTAACCTGGTTGACTGTAAAGGTGGAGCTTCTGGGTGAGGGATTGCCGAGGACCACATGACATAAGCAGTGTTAAAAATGAAGGCAACGTAAAAATAGGCAGAGCTCAGAAATGGAGGGGAAAAATGAGACATTGGCCTTCTGACGTTGTTGGAGCCCTTGGATGAGGCTCGTATTAACCCTTCTTGCCTGTCTTCCATGAAGTCAGTTTGGATTGGGTTTTATCATTTTCAATTCAAAGAGTTTTGACAATACACATTTGGTTGTTTTGGGAAAATTAACATTTAAGTAAAAGAAGCAAAGCCGGGTGTAGGGGTAAATGGCAGATAACTTGTTCCCTGCTGGGTTGGAGCATCCCCCAGAGACTAACAGAGGTTTGATCTGAGACCATGCTCAGTTTCCTTGAGACAGAGCTTCTTGCCAGGTCAGCAAGAGACCAGGGGGGGTGAACACTAATGTATGGGTGCTGTGCAGTGGGAGGAGAAGCCATGTGTGAATCAAGNCTTCTTGCCAGGTCAGCAAGAGACCAGGGGGGGTGAACACTAATGTATGGATGCTGTGCAGTGGGAGGAGAAGCCATGTGTGAACCAAGCCGGGATGTTGGGAGCACTTGGACCATAAGCCGGTGAGGTCCAAGCCAGGAAGAGAGCACGGGAGGGGTTTCTCTTGGAGACAAAACTCTTAAGCTGGGCGATGAATGATGCAGCCCATGACCTACACCTACATCTATGGGACATCTGGCTTTGACGTATTGGAGACTATCAGTGGGAAAGTCAGCAACTACCTTTTAAAAGTAGATGTTGAACGCTGTGGTCTCTCAGATACTGTTTCATTGGGAAACACCATTAAATAATTTAAATATATTAAATCCATTAGGGGTTGACTTTGGATCTTAAAATCCAAATACTCAGGGGGGGAGAAAAAAAGGACCTTAGATTCACTATGCCTATTAGGAAAGTAATTTTAAATAACTAGATTTCCCATGTGGATTCATCAATTTATTCCACAAAAAAATACTTCTTGCAAGCCTGTGTACCTGGCCAGGAAGGGCTGCAGAAGTGGGCAAAACTTCGATAAAGCTCTTGCCCTGGTGATGCTAACACATCTTCCCTGTCTGAGAGATCTTTCTCTTCCCTGGCAGTGAATATATTCATTCATTTAGTCATTCATTCCATGGTTATTTATTTGCATCAACTTGTGTAAATATACATATTATATATAACAAAGTAAAAGCTCACATTGTAGAATGTTCCAGGAAAAAGCTGTCCTTTGAGAGTAAATTCATTGTTTGGTAAATTGAGAATGTAAAAATTAAATGTGAAACCCCTGCTACACTTCTAAAACTCCCCCTTTATTGCCATCATTAAAAATGGAAAATCGATTCGTTTCTTCTTCAGTAAAGACAACTGTAAACCTGATTGACACAAACTTCAAAGACTTGGGTACAGCAGTACAGTGGTCAGAGTAACAGTGGTCAGAGTAACACTGTCCAGTACCGTGGTCACGAGCTCACGTGGCTGTTGAGCACTCGAAATGTGGCTGGTCCTAGGTAAGATGGGCCAGAAGTGCAGAATATAAACTGAACTTCAAAGCCTGAGGATTAAAAACAAAAAAGATTCTAAAATATCTCATTAATAATTTCTATATTGATTATGTTGAAATTATAGCATCTTCTGTGGGTCAGCACTGGGTTAGAACAGGGCTCTGACGTCAGCGTGAGGACTGAACTCTGGCTTCTCTATTTCTTAACTGTATGGCACTGGGTACTTAGCCTCACAAACCCTGGTTCCCTGGCCTCCCTGGAAGGGGGCTACTAATAGCACCTGCCTCATTGGGTTGTTGTGACCACTAAATGAGGACATGCATTTGCAGTGCTCAGCACCACGCTTGGCACGCAGTTCCTTCTGAGTAAATGCCAGCTAATCAGAGCCACCCTGCGAGGCACACCTGGAAAGTCAGGAGACTGGGCTAGACCAGTAACAACAGAAAACCATCCAGTGAGAATTTGCATAAATCCCTGACACTGAGTTGTTTCCTTTCGATTTGCCATTTTCCGAAATCCGAAGTGCTCACAAAATGAGGGCTTTGTTAACTGATGGCCCTAGTTAGCCAGGTTCTGGGAAAACACAAGGTCTGATGAATTAGGGGTTGGTTAGTGAAGGACTATACCCACTGTAATTCCTCAAGGTACTGGAGCACATGCAGTTACTGTTACACTATTAACAGAGGTAATGTTTCCTGAGAGCCTATGACATGCTGAGCATTTCACTTGAAAGTCGTGCTCCCAAGGGCCCTGAAGCACAGGACGGTTGAGAGGTTTGCTCAGGGTCACCCAGCCAGAAATCGGCAGAGATAGAACTCAGTGCAAGTTTGTTTGACCCCAAAAGTCAATCTATATTCTACTGAATCAGAAAATTCCGGGTAACATTTCACTTCCTGTGGCCACAAAATCGTGGGGCCTTCGTCAGAGGACTGTTTAGAGGAGAAAGATTGGTTTACCTTTCTTTCAGATTATTACACCAACAAAAGAGGATCCGAGATTTCACAGTCATGAAAGGGTCTGCTTACAAAAGGTTTCCATTCCTTAGTAATAAGGGAGCAAAGAACATCCATCTCAATAGTGAGCCCATTGAATGCAGCCCTTCTTTCCTACGGTTCTAAAGCGTTGCCAGCCAGAATTGCAAAAGTGGTAGAACTTTTTCCCTCTTGAGGATTTTCTAGGACCTTACAAACATGACCCCATTAATCCACTCAATACCCGGATGAGATAGGTAGTTGGAAGTTATTATTATTGCCACTTTCAAGATAGAAAACCTGAAGCCACGAGAGATTAAGCAATTAGTCCAAGGTCAAATGGTGAGCTAGAGACAGACCTGGAAATGAAACGATTATCTGGTGAAATTCGACTCAAATGCACAAACTGATTGGCCAGTTACCACCATGTGCTGCTATCCAGTTAGGTGCTGTCCCTGCAAAATGACTGGCTTTTAAATGAGATTTCCGCAGCTGCACTGGATTGAATTTGTTGGGAGTGTTTTAATACCAATGTTCAAACT